ACGTTAGAACCTGAAATCCCGCAGGGACGTTCCGTGTTCTTGTTTAATCTAAGGATTTCAAATACTGCTTTAATTTCCGACTAGACACCATTGGCAAAATGACAGTTTGGGAACTGAAGTTATTAAAGTGAAAATAAAGCGCTCTGACTTTAAGAATATTTATTTCCCGTACACGGACATGTAGGCCTAGAATGAGCTTTAATTTCTACCTGTGCCGCTTGTTCGGACGCGTTAGAGACTTTTATAGCGAAAGGCGATTTCGCCAGTCATGTTAGGGAGCTGAAACGTTGTAAAGATATTCTATAACAGTATGCGATTTTGAAGTAATCAGAAAACAAAGAAAGTACTAAAAATTGTTCCATTTGAAGCTGTCGTTAGGTTCACTTTTTTTCCTGCTGGTATATATCAGTAATGCGTGGTGCGCACAACTTGTCTCTAAAGTCAACAACAGCAGGATTAACGAAACATTCCTGTTCATCCCATTATTTTTGAATATATTTTATAAATGCCATCATTAATAAACTTTATTAACTTTTTTCATGTATACTTCATGCTACTGTTTTTATGGAGAATTTGGTTTTTCTGCGAACGTTCCTTTAGTTTAACCCTCATTTATGTGGTACAGGAATTTGCTTCAGGTAATGGTAACAAATGTAACGTCGTTATTGAAAACCGTAAAAACCGTTGAAGATGAGCATCAGCGTGGGACACGAGCACTGGAAGCAGCAATAGAAGCAATCGGCCAGGAAATCCATCTGTACGATACTGGAGAAGCACCCACGAGAGGTTCATGAATCTCAAAATTATTTTTTCTGATTTAGCAAATAGATGAATTAGAAATCGTGTAGGCCACGTGTGGGGTGTGCTTGTGCTACATTTGTACAAGAAATTGTCCCATGTTCTCCTTTTTTCACATTCAATAATTGGCCAATGCACGGCCTGCCCGTGCGAAGATGCGCTTTTTGCAGAGTTCCCCGCAGTTTTTGTCGCTAGCGGCATCGGTTTTTTCGGCAGATGCTTCTAGC